ATTCCTGGTGGGCCTGGTGGGCCCGGACCAGAGCAAGGCGCGCGGCCATGACTACAGCATCATGGCGGTGAACCCCCTCGGCGTCGTCGTCTCGGGGGCCGCGCTGTCGGACGAGCTCCGGAGTGCCGCCCACAACATCCTGTACACGGTGGTGAACGAGCTGGACAGCGAGGACCTCGTCGAGGTGGTCAACCACGACCACGAAGCAGCCCCGTGCATCGCGGCGGCTTGCTTGGCCGCGGGGGCGTGCGAGGACCACGGCCAGCTGGTGATCGTCGACGGCAAGCGGGGCGCGTGGGGGGTGGGCGCGGGGCCGAATATCAAGGTCCAGCGCCAGGCGGCCAAGCTGGCGCTCGCCCTGGCCCAGTTCCAGGGGCAGCCCATGCCGGAGCTCCGCGAGCTCTGCAAGCACAACAGGGGGCTGCTCGACCTGATGCGCACGGTGGACGCGGAGGCGGTCGTGGAGCTCACCGACGTGGACGACGCCTCGAGCAGGGGCGAGGGGAGGTCGACCCCAGCCCCGGTCCTCGAGGCGGGAGAGGACGCGGTCACCGCGGCGCTGGCGCGCGCGGCCATCCAGGCTGCAGCGCGGCGCCAGGGCAAAGGCGCTCCAGCGGAGCGCCCGCGGCCCGCGCGGTCCCCGGGCCAAGAGCGCCTCGCCGAAGAGGTCCGCAAGCGCGAGAGGCGCCCTGCGCCCTTGCGCTCGCCCTCGCGCGCGAGGCGTCGCGATCGCGGGCGCGATGCGCCTCGCGATCGCGGGCGCAGGGGACAGGAAGAGGAGGCCGTCTTGAAACCCAAGACGGGCGGCGCCCCCCCGAAGGCCGACATCGTGAAGCGTGAGGCCGTCCTGAAGCCCAAGAGCGGGGGGGCGCCGCCGCGGTCCTTCGAGGTGAAGACCGAGGTGGAGGAGGCGGCGGCGCCAGGCGCGGGGGACGGTCCGCCCCAGCGCCAGCCGCGCTCGAGGAGCCGCCGTAGGCGCAAGGAGGAGCAGCGCCTGGGCGCCCAGCAGCAGCCCAGCGACCAGCACGACGAGGGCGAGTCCATCATCCGCATCGAGCGGGTACCGCACCACGTCGATGCCGAGGTGGTCAGGCAGGTGGTCTTGCCCTTTGGGGTCGTCAAACACATCGCCTTCCTGTACGACCACCGCCACAAGCGGGAGCCGTGCGTGCTGGTGGAGTTCCAGCGCCGCGCTGACGCAAAGCGCGCGCGGGAGTGCATGAGGTCGAACTATCGGTTCTACAAGACGGACCCGTGCACGGTGGTCACGGAGTGGGCGAGCCGGCCTCGCGGCCCTGACCAGGCAGCGACGGGGAGGATGGGCCGACCATCCAGCCGCCTGCCTGCCCGACATGCGCACTCAAGATGCGCTGGAGCTCCTTTGACCCGGGTGACGGTTGGGGTTGCGAGATGTGCCCCGCGGGCGGAGCTAACAGCGGAGCCCTGCGGTGGCACTGTAAGGGGTGCGACGTGAGCTACTGCGAGGCTTGCCGCGTCGCCTTCGGCAAACCCAAGACGGTGGTGGAGAAGGCCCGGCGGAGCGGCCACACCGTGCGGGAGGCGCCGGGCCCAGTGCCGGCCATGGAGAGCGCCCCAGCACGGGTGCCACGGGTGCGGGGGCTGAGGGGGACCGCCCGCCAGGCGACCTCAGCTGGCCCAAGCGTGAGAGGTCGCCCAGCCGCAACCAGCCCAAGCGCGAGAGGTCGCCCAGCCGCAGTCTGGCGCGGGACCCAGCGCGGGCGCGGCGCGGCGACACCCCTCCCGGCCGCACGCGGCGTAAGACCGGGAAGCACGCTGGGCAGCTTCGCGCTCCTCGCGGCGGCTGGTACGAGCAGGAGACAAAGCGGCGGCGTGCTGCCGCCGCGGAGGCTGCCGCGGGCGGGGGTGGGATCCCAGCCTGGCGTGGCAAGGGCGCGGGCGACAAGGGCGGCAAGGGCGGCAAGGTCAAGGGCAAGCACTCCGGCAAGGCCGCCAAGGGCTCCAAGAGCGGCGGCAAGGGCGACAAGAGCGGCAAGGACGGCCACTCCAAGGGCGACCAGGGCAGCCGCGGCCGGAGTGAGCGTGACTGGCCCAGCGCGGACGGTCGCGCGTCGAGGGGCGGCGATGGCGGCAGCCCCCGGGACCCCAGTGAGCGCGGCGGAGACCGCAGCGGAGACGAGAGCCGCGACCGCCAGGGGAACACGCCCTCCATCTAGGCGTGGAGCCCCCCCCGTACCCCGACGCCAGCGCCCGCGGCATCGCGGGCGCGGGCTGAAGGCGGCGGCCTGTGAGTGAGCCGGCCCTCCTCTCAGCCTACCGCGCGCAGGTGGCGCCTGCGATCCTTTGAGCCTACGGTGCGCAGGTGGCGCCTGCGATCTTCTTTCTTTTAGCCTACGGTACGCAGGTGGCGCCTGCGATCTTCTTTCTTTTAGCCTACGGTACGCAGGTGGCGCCTGCGATCCTCTCTCTTTGGAGGAGCTTAACTTTGCACGCACGTCGCGTGCTTCCTGGACCCGGCCGTGCCGCGCGTCTTGCGCGCCGTGCGGTCGGGGCCACACTTGCGCTCTGCGCCCGGCGCATCGTGCGCCGTCCCCTTTCGGTTCTTTTGCGCGCATCGCGCACGCGCCGCGCCCGCGCTCTGGGCGCGCGGGGCGCGGAAGGCCTCAAGGTTGCAGGCAAGTGGCCGCGCGCGCGAGGCTCTTGCAGCCTCTGGTTCCGCCCTCGCACTCGGGCGGGTTGTCCCCGCGCGCGCGGCTGCGTCTTTCTTTTCTCATGGCCGAGCGGCCGCAGGCGTGCCAGAGCGCGAGCGCGCGGGCCGTCAGGGCCCACGCGCTCGCGTTGAGCGTGGGGCCATCAGGGCCCACGCCCAGGCGGAGATGCGCGTCGCCACGCTGCCATGAAAATGCCATCGCCCTGTCCTGGTCCCCCTCTCGTCCCCTCCTCTCCTCCTCTCCCTCCGTTGAGTGCACGCGTATCTCACTTAACTTGCATAGTCTGATTGGTTGTAGACTGCAGGTTAAGTGGGAGGGGGTGCGGGCTCAGGTAGCCATTTTGGGTCCGTAGCGTTCGGCTCTGGCCGACGCGCGGGTGCCCACCCACCCCGCTTTGCTCCCAGACGCCTGCGTCGGCCGAGCGGCCGCAGGCGTGCCAGTGCGCGAGCGCGCGGGCCGTCAGGGCCCACGCGCTCGCGTTGAGCGTGGGGCCACCAGGGCCCACGCTCGGCGGAGATGCGCGTCGCCACGCTGCATGAAAATACCATCGCCCTGTCCTGGTCCCTCTCTCGTCCCCTCCTCTCCTCCTCCTCCTCCGTTGTTTGAGTGACGCGTGTCTACTTAACGACCGCTGGGCCCAATCGGGGCTCTCTTTGGGCTTCTCTACTGAGGGCACTAACCTGTGCGGGTGGGGTGCTTGGGGGCTTGGGGTGCCGGGGGGGGGGGGCTTGGCTGGGGCTGGGCGGGGTGGGGGGGGGGGCTCCTCTTCTGCTCCCCACCGCCCCCCCCCACCCCTCCGCCCACCACCCCCCCGGGCTGTGGGGGGGCTGGGGCGTGGGGGGCTGGGGTGCTTGGGGGGTTCGGGGGCGGGGCTTGGGGCTGTCTGGTGAGGCGGGGGGGTGGGGGCTGGTTCTGGGGCTTGTGGGGGCGACTGGGCGGCTCCTGGCTCTCTTGGGGCCCTCTTGGATGCCCTTTTGGGGTCCTTTTGGCGCCATCTTCTAGGCCATCGATCAAACGAGGGGGAGGGGGTCGCCTGTGTCGGCCTCCCCGTCGGAGACCTCACTGGGGCCCTCTTGGGGCGCTCTTGGGCCATCTTGGGGCCAGCCAGAGGCCTCAGGAGTCCATTGGGAGCGAAATGGCGAGAAGAACGGATTTTGGCCTCCTGGGGGCTTGTGGCTGGCTCGGATGGCACTTGGTTCCAACCGGAGTGGAGCTGGGGCCTCTTGGGGGCATGCTGGAAGCGGTATTGAACCATGTGGGGTTCTCTTCAGCGATTTTGGAGACCATTTTTGTCTCTCTGGGGCCATCTTGTAGCCGTCTTGGGCCATCTTCGACGCTCCAACGCCTCGCAGAACGGCCCCCCGCCGACCCAGGGGAAGGGGTTAGGGAGAGGGGGAACATCTGCCCGAAGGGGAAGAGGGGGGTTACGAAAATGAGCTCCTAACCCATTCACGCCCAGAGGGCTGGTGGGATAGGGTATAAGTGCGTATATGCATGCGCGCACATTCATTTTTATTGTATGTCTGTAAAGACATCTACTTATGTGATGCATGTATGTACAGATTTGATGTGTATGCGTCTGTATTTCTATACATGTCTATAAATACCTCCGCTTATCAGGCCCATCATGGGCCAAGACGGGGCGTGTATGTGCTTCCCTGGCCAAGCAAGGGGGGGACACGGGCCAGGACGCGGCGTGTATGTGCTTCTCTGGCCAAGCAAGGGGGGAACACACGCACTTGCACACGCACACGCACTTGCACACGCACGCGCACGCGCACGCGCACGCGCACGCGCACGCGCACGCGCACGCGCACACACACACACACACACACAAACACACACACACTCACACACACACCACACAACCCACACACACACACACACACACACCCCACCACACACACACCAACACACACACACACACACAACACACACACACAACCCAAACACACACCACACAACACACAACCACAACACCCGGCCGGACGCACGCCCGCACGCGGAGCTACGCACGGATGCACGCACGACGCTACGCACCGCACGACGCAGCACGAACGCACGCACGCCCAACACAACAACACACACAACACACCCACACACACACACACACACACACACACACACACACACACACACACCCGTAGCCATTTTGGCTCAAGATGATTTGTTCCACAGGGGAACGAGTGGATACCGCTAGTCCGCTGCCAGTGCCAGGGCTTCTCCGCCCGACAGTTTTGTTTCGTGTGCTGGCAAGGGGTAGGCTGTGCGCTGCCCACTCGCCATGTCCAGTGCCTCGCAGAGGGCCAGGTCTGAGCCGCGGGCCAAGGGCGGCGGCGGCAAGGGCAAGAGCAAAGGAGTTGGCAAGGCAGGCAAGACCAACGCGAGCGGAGCCAACCCCCTGGACTACGTCCGCTGTGCGAACTGCTCGTACAAGTGGAACTTGAAGGCCAGGGTGGAGTGCTACAACTGCAAGAAGCCGCTCAAGCCTGCCGCAGTGGACGAGCCTCCGCAGCTACGGGCATCGGCGTGGTCATTCGTGCGCGAGCCGTGGGTGCGGCACTCTGACGACTGGTTCGGGTACGAGGCACCGCCACCGCAGCCCGCCCCGCCGTCGGATGCAGAGTGCCTCGCGGCGTTGGCGGCCAGGCATCCCGAGCACGGCCAGCAGCTCGAGGCCATCAAGATGGCAGTCGCACCACCGCCCGTTGCGGCCACGGTGTTGCCAGATGTGGCCCTCAACCGCGCCCGGGCCAAGCAGCGGCGGGCTCAAGCCGCCTTCCTCTCCAAGTCCCAGCAGGTCCACGACGCCGAGCAGTGGCTCCAGGCCTGCCGCGAGGAGGAGGTGCGTGCTGGTGAGCTCGTCCTGGCGTGCAACGTGGAGGTGGAGGAGGCCTACAAGGCAGCAGCGCCCAAGGGCGTCCAGGTGCAGGCGCAGGAGGCGCAGGAGCCTGGCGCCAAGACTCAGCCTGCCGTGGGCCTCAACGTCACGGCGCTTTTGGCGGAAGACTTCCAGGTCGAGGCAGGCGACGCCTTCAGGCTGGACGACCCCGACCTGGACATCACCGACGCGGAGCGCGAGGAGTTCAACAAGTCCCTGGAAGGCTTCGTCGAGCAGGTCAAGCAGCTCGTGCGCACCACCTTCGGGGAGGCCAAGACGCAGCTGGAGCAGAGGCGCAGCGAGATCGACGCCAAGCACCAGCAGCTGCTGGCCAGGCGCAAGCGGCCTCGCACCGAGGCGGCAGGAGCAGCAGACCAGGCGCCAGCCCAGGCGCCAGCCGCAGGCCCTGCGGCAGCAGGCCCTGCGGAGGCCCCAGCGGCCGCCGCGGCCCCAGCCCAGGCCCCCACCCCTGGGCAGCCTGAGGCCCCTGCTCGGCCTCCTGTTGCTCACCCTCCAGGGCCACCCAGCCTCCGCGGCCCCGATGGCGCAGCCAAGTTGGCTCAGCTCAGGCGGGACTTGGAAGCAGCAGCCGCCGTTCCAGCTGGGGACGCAGATGCGTAAGGCCCAGTCCTGGGGACCTGATGCGCCGCCAGAGGCCAAGCCACGAGAGCCCAGACTCGTCCGCCTGGGCAGGCGGGAGCGGGCCATCCTGGCCACGCGTATGCGCCGCATGGCTCGGCACTGGCGCCCTACCCCGTCGCTGGGGACCACGGCTCAGGACCGCAGGCGCTGGGACTCCTACTGCGTGCCGTACATCTTCCACCAGCTGGGCTCTGGGGAGTACACAGCCATGCTGGACGACCTGGCAGCCACCACGGGCAGCGGATCCCGAATTGCCGAGCGCATGAGGATTGCACGGGAGTTGGGTGACGAAGCTTGGAACCGTGGAGGGGATGCCAGGCGCCTCCAGCGGCAGTGGTTGGAGCATCTGCAAGTGGCTAATCAGGATGCTTTCGAGCGTGAGGCGGCTCAGCAGGACCGCACCCAGTCAGCCGCGGAGCGGTGGTTCGACCGCCAGTCCCAGGCGACGTCGGGAACGCAGGCCCCCACCGTCTATTTCGACGACCGCATCCACTGCTGGAGGTTGTGCGCCGCGAAGGTGCTGGAGGCCGACCTCGGCCCATCCACCTCGACTGGGACCTCGGAGGAGCCGCTGTGTTGCTCTGCCTCGCCCGTTGAATGCACCGAGCTCACTCCCACCCCAGCCGCGTGCAACCTCACGGACGAGCACCGAGGAGCTGCCCCATGTATTTCAGCTGGTGGTCTCTCTGCCGCCCGAGGCAGCCCAGATCAGCTTACGTCAGTTGGTGGTTTCTCTGGCTCAGCTGGTTCAACGGGCGATGGTCTCTCGGCCGCCGATGGTGGCACCCAGGCGCAGCTTATTTCAGTCAGTGGTGTTTCGGGCTCTACAGTTTCCACGGATGGTGGTTTCCTGGCCGCTGGAGGCACCCAGGTGCAACTTACGTCAGGCCGTGGCCCCTCTGGCTCAGATGCCTCAACTGTAGATGGTTTCTCTGTCGCCGTTGGAGGCACTCAGGAGCAGCTTACGCCAGTTGGTGGTTGCTCGGGCTTTGCTGCTCCCACAGGCGGGCCTTTCTTGGCCGCTGGAGGCCCTCAGGCGCAATTTACGTCAGATGGTGGTTTCTCGGACCCAGTTGTTACAGCAGGTGTTGGTGGCTCTGCCCACGGAGGCAGTCAGGCGTTGCTTACGTCAGTTTTTGTTTCTGCAGGCTCAGCTGTCTCATCTGGGGAAAGCCACTGCGGCCCTGGGCAGCCTAACATCATCGATATGGCCCATGAGACTGTGGCACACCCTACCGAGGGCGGGGACGTCAGTGTCGGCAGTGTTGGCGGCCAGTCCACCTGCAGCGGGACTTCGGCAAAGCCCCAGTGCGACGTCGCCAAGTATCGACCCTCAGCAGCAGGAGCCCGCAGAGGCAAGCGTCGACAGCGGAGCCACAGGCGCGTCACCTTCCACAGCGTCAATGCCAGCCCCAGCTGGGGCAACGTTGTGGGCTACCTCCACGGCGCGGCACACCAGCAGCTCACCGAGGGCAAGATTCCGATCATCGGTTTCCAGGAGCACGGCAAGCGGCGTTTATGGGCCGAAGAGAGCGCACGGGCCCTGGCGCCCTTGGGCTGGAGGGCCCTGCCCACGCCAGCGACGGACGGCCCGAATGGAGGGGCCTCGGCGGGTGTCTTGCTGGCGATACCTGCCTGCGTCGGCGTCACTCTTGCATCTGGACAGCGACACTGGGACATATCTCCCCCAGGTTGTGCAGGCAGGCTCCTGATGGCCACCCTCGAGGCCAAGGGCATCGGCAAGTTACTGGTTTTCTGTGCGTATTGCTTCACTGGTCAGAAGTTGGCGTCTGTGGGCAATTCAGCTCTCCTGTCAGTTATCACGGGGTGGGCAGTCCAGCTCCAGCTGCCCTGGATCGTCATCGCGGACTGGGAGAATCTACCTGACGCGTTGGAGCGTTCGCCGTGGAACAACCAGCTCAGAGGCCGCGTCGTAGCGTGGCAAGGGGAAGGGGGCACCAACCGCTCCCCGCACGGTGAGCGCGTGATCGAGTATTTCTGGATGCACTCCAGTTTGGCTGCCAATATTTCCCCAGCCCGCATTGACGACGACGCGGTCTACCACCCTCATAGAGCCACATGGGTCGAGTTTCAGCAGCCTTGGTCGGCCTTTACCTACACCAAGCTCATCCGACCCCACAAGTTCCCGACCCCAGGAGTCAAGCCGAGGCACTTCGATCTCTCGTGCCCAGACGTGCCTGCAGGTTTCGACCCCGATGCGGTGCCTACCCAGGAGCTCCTGGACGACACCTGGGAGGCTTTCTGCCACGCCGCCGAGGAGGAGCTGATCCAGAAGGTGGGTTTGGACCCCAGCAGTCGGCAAGCCGATCAATGCCGAGGGCGCGGGGGACCACCGCGCTTCAGGAAGTGCCCGTTGCTCCCGACCCACACCGAGGCCATCGCTTCGTGCGGGGAGGCCAAGCGTTGGAGGTGGTTTGCCAACGAGTTGGCTTGGCTGGGCATCATTGAAGTAAAGCTTTTCAGCTACACGGGCGCTTCCGACCTGGCCCTCACCACGTTGCACCAGCAGCGGCACGCCTCCATCCGCAAGTTGCGTGACCGCTTCAGGCACCACATGCTGTTAGAAGGCGTGGCTGAGCTGCAGGAGTTCTTCGAGGTTTTCACGTCTCGGGACCGCGGTTATGAAGACTTGCAGGAGCTCTCGGCTTGGCGCCTCAGCTGCAGTCAGTATGCCTCGTACTTGGAGTGGCAGATCGGCAAGGAACGACGAGATTCCTTCAAGCAGCGGTTGGAGGACGACTTCCCAGGCTCGCAGGGGCTCCTCCACAGGGTCACCAAGTGGCGCCAGGCTTGGCAGGGTCCCAAGGGCAGCATCTCCAAGAAGCTGCTCCCAGCGGCGCCTCAGGCCGCCGTGGACCAGGAGTTGCACGACTGGTCGAAGGTCTGGACCACTGGCTCAGGTTTCCCCTAGCCGTGGAGGGGCCTCCAGCAAGTCGCCGTCACGCCGCCCAGCCCTCACCACCTGCGCGGTTTGGCCCAGCGTTTCAGGGCCAAGACGGGGATTGGCGTGGACGGATGGCAACCCAAGCTTTGGGCCTACCTCACGGACGGCACGCTCTCGGTGCTCGCGTCATTGCTGGCCTGGTGCCAACAACTGGGGCGGTGGCCGTCCCAGGTCCACCCCCTGCTCGTTTTCATCATCGGGAAGCTCGATGGAGGGGGCCGACCCATCATTCTTCTACCTGGCCCTTGCCGAATCTGGGAGGCGTGGCAGCTGCCCACCATCAGGGGCTGGTTGGCGGCGCACCCCAGGAGCTACGACTACACGGCGGCGGGCCAATCATCGGAGCGTGCGCTGTGGAAAGCTTTGTTGGACGACGAGCTCGTGTTGGGCACAGGCATACGCGCGGCCACGATGCTGGCGGACCTCGCCAAGTGTTATGAGAAGGTTCCGCATGAGCGTATGTGGTGGCTAGCAGCTTGGTGGGACGGCCCGCTGGAGGTGGTCGCGCTCGCCCTGGCAAGTTTCGCCTTTGGCCGTGCCATTCGTCTCGGGGAGGCCTGCTCGGCGGAGGTCCTGTCCTCCACAGCGCTCCCAGCGGGCAGCCGTTTCGCGCCCACCTTCCTGAGGTTCTACCTCACGCTGTGCTTCGACGACCTGCTGAGGGTTTTCCGCCTCACGATCTATTTGTACGTTGATGACATCGCCCTGCGGGTCATGTCCACCGAGGCGCGCGTCTTGCACATGCTGCCGCAGGCCACGCGCTTGCTGTCTTGGATGCTGGAGTCCTTGGGCCTGGAGGTAGCCCGAGCGCGGGACGGGGCGAGAGGCAAGTGCTCTTTCCTGCAAACGGCCACTCCGTCTTCAGGCTTGACGCAGGCCATGGCCGTCCTGGGAGTACCGCCCAGCACCTCCGAGCGGTGGCTCGGCATCGACTACGGTCCCAGCGTCAAGACAGAGAACCAGTCAGCCCCAGTCAGACACGCGCGGCTCAAGATAGCCAAGCAGCGTTGGCCTAAGATCCGCGGCCTTCCTCGTGCACGCGGGGGCAAGCTCAAGATGGTCGTGCGGCAGGGCCTCGGGGCCTCGGTCGCCTACGGCGCCCGTGTCCGCGGCACGCCCAGGCCCATCGTGCGTTTCATCCAGCAGAAGGATCGGGCCGTCCGCAGGGGCGCCACAGCTTTTACCTCCCGAGTCTTGCACGACGGCCTCGACCCCAGTTGCGCCGACACCCTCGTTCTGGCACCGCTGCTGGCTTGGGCGAGGGAAGCTTGGGACCACCCAGAGGGGCGGCGTGCGCAGGCCGCAGCATGGGCCCGAGTGCAGCAACAGCTCGCGCTGTACATGGGCGCCGACGCTCAGGAGTTGTGGTCAGTGGTGCGCGGCCCAGCGGGGGCCACCTCAGTCACAGTTCGAGCCCATGGTTGGAGCATGCCGTCAGCCTTCGAGATTGTCTTGCCTCCACGTGGCGGGGTGCTCCAAGGAGGGGACGCCCATCTTGATCTACTGCAGATTTGCCCCAAGTCGGTCGAGGCCGCCGTGCTTTTGGCCGCCCGTTCCAGAGCCCTGTGCCAGTGGGCGGCGGCTCAGCCCGAGCGGGCTGCGCTCCTGCCAGCGCCGTGGCTCACCCCGGCGTGGCAGTTGGTCAAGCGGCGCAAGCAGGACGGGTGGCTGCAACACCATGCCGACGCGGTCAAGAAGGCGGTGTTGGGCGGTTTCCCTTCGCAGGAGGCCCTTTTCTCTTCGGGCCAGGCGGACACTCCGTATTGCCAGCTTTGCGACGACACGACCTGTTTCGGCACCCACCAGCACTATTATTGGCGGTGCGGCAGCCCGACGTGTGCCACGGTGAGGGAGCAGCTGACGGCCCACGACGCGTCACCTACCTTCAGAGACGTCGGCCACCTGGGCGTGTCGGCCTCCTCGTCGGAAGCCTCAAGATGGTTGTGGGAGCGGGGTTTGCGGCGAACCCCATGTTACGGCTTGGCTTGGAGTCTGCCGTCGCAGCGCACCCATTGGATCGTCAATGGCGCGGCCCCCGAGCTCACCGATGTGCTGGTTTCGGACGGATCAGTCAAAGGCTTGGATGACCTCAGGCACGGCGGCTGGGCGGCTTTGCAGTGCACAGCGGAGGCCGACGACGTGGTGCAGGGCCTGTACGGCCCACTGCCCTTTCCCGACCCCAGCTCGGTCCTGGCAGAGTTGTGGGGTCTCCTCCACGCCCTCAGGCATTCGGTCTTCATCACGGCCATCATCATTGACAATGCTCAGGTGGTCCAAGGCTTGGCTCGTGGCAGGGCATGGTGTTGTTCAGCGGCCAGGCCCTATGCGCACGTCTGGCTCGAGATCTGGGATCGCCTGGATGACATGGGCATCCTTCCTGGCAGAGAGTTGTCGGTCATCAAAGTCGCCTCGCACATATCGCAGGCCAAACGCCTAGAGCTGCCAGAGGAGGTCCAGACTCACATGAGGCACAATGACTTAGCCGACGAATGGGCCAAGCAAGGAGCAGACCTCAGCGCGCCGCCAGAGTGGGCCACGTTGCAGGTCAAGCAGGAGCTCAAGGCCACCAAGCGCGTGCTCGAGTACATCGGGCACTTCAGGGTCCTCCTCGACGGGGTCAAGTTGGCGGAGCCTAGGCCCAAACGACAGCAGGGCCAAGAGGCCAACATTCCTCAGGCTGCACGACCCCAGGCTGGTCCCAGGCACCCGCACGTTCTGGAAGTGTGCCGCGGTTATTCCAAGTGCACCAACTGCGGCAAGGTTGCCCGCACTCGCCTCGCGGCCTTTCAGTTGCAGGAGTGCCGTGGTCGTCTCCAAGGGCTCCAGGGCAAGTTAGTCAAGAGTGCGGCCAAGAGAGGCAGTGTGGCGGTGCCTCTTCTCGTGGCGGCAGGCGCCGCCGCTCGGCCTGTGCGACAGCGAGCAGACCATGGAGATCAGGGTGAGCCCCGAGTAGAGCCCGACCCTGCGCCTGCCTCCCAGCTGGGCCCCGACCCGCTGTGGGCTCCTGTCGCAGCAGCCCGCGCGGCTCTTGGCAGGATGGAGCGGATGCCTGACGGCCCTGTCTGCATGGGAACCCCGCCAAGCCAGCCACACATCACGCCCGAACAGCAGCATGTCCGTTCCATCATGGACGATGCCATCATCTGGGCGTCTTTCTGGATCGATCGTTTCGACGTGGCAGGCTTCACCAACGAGTGGGACTACCGTACGTGGTGTTCGGAATATCTTGAAAGGTTTCTCAGCTCGGCGGCGTGGGCACCAGTTCGAGAGCATCTTCTACGTAGCAACCCTGGCCGCACTCTCGGACAGGTCGTCGACGACCTATGCGCCACCTCTTGGACGCGTGCCGAACCAGCCCGTCAGGCTCAGTTCGCCAGGGTACGGCCTGACTCGGGTTTGACAGCCAGGCAGCGCCGTCGGCTGCTTCGGCATCACTTCGATGTGTTGAACCAGGCCAGGGAGCGTTTCAGGGATCTTCTTGGAGATCGTGCCCCGCCTGAGACGGCCTCCTGGCACCAGTGGGTCTTCGAGCCCCTCTCCTCGGATGACGACCAAGGAGGTGATGCGGCAGGCCGCGCCGCCGAGGACGCCCATGGCTACGACGATACCGACGAGTTCGCGGCCCTCAGCGTGCACAGCGACCTCGAGGTGGTGGAGGCAGACGGCAAGGCCACGCAGGCCACAGGCACCCAGGCGTCAGAGCGCGAGTCGTCGCCCAATCCCGACCTCGCCCCCAGGGCACTCCAGCCACAGGAGGAGGGAGCTCCAGCGGGAGGGGCGAGGCGGGAGGGTGTTTTGCGGATCCGCAGTGCGGCAGCCACCTGTTCCCAGGACGTGGACGACGGTGCTACGGCTGGCGCTGGGGCAGCTCCTGTTCCCACGGTGCCGCCTGCTGCTCAACCCGCTGGCGAGCCTGGAGCTGATCAGGGCGAGTTGGCCAGCTCCCTGGACGTGGACGGCAAGGCTGCCACCCAGGCAGCGGCCGCTGTGTGCTCCGCCCCCTTGGCGGCACACCAAGCTCGTGCTGGCCAGGGCAGCCTGAAACACGGTGGTAAGGCCCCAAGGACTGGTTCCTCAGCATCCTCGGCGGCGGCGGCGGGCTCTGGCCAGGGCGGCCTGGCACCGCTGGCGGGGTCCCCGCCGCCCTCGGCTGGGGCTGCGGCGGCCTCGGAGCCAGAGCGGGGTGCGCGCGGGCGGGCGGCCTCTGCCCAGCCCGCCAGGAGTGGCCAGGCGCTGCCTGAGACGGCCAGAGCCGCTTCATCGGAGCCTCGGCCACATACGGTCGAGATCATTGGCAACTTCGTGGTCTGCGTCGTGTGCGGTTCCTACTACAGCTCGGTGGCCAGGAACCTCGGCGGGCCGCGCAGGCGGCTGGACCCGCGCGACCCAGGCGACAAGGAGCACCTCAGGCGCATTCGCCGCATCCAGCGCGGCCAGGACCCAAAGACTGGAAGGGATCTGAGTTGAGGCCGTTGTGCTCGTTCAATGGTCTGTCTGGTCTCAGTGCGTGCGGCCCCCCTTGGCGCGGTGTTATCCGTGAGCTGAGGGGCCTGGGCGGGGCTGCCGCCCCGCTCGGGGCGCTCGGGCCTGCTTCCCCGCGTTGCGGGTGGCCTGGGCGCGGCGCGTTTCTCGCTGCGTTTCGGCCCCCCTTGGCAGCAGGCTGAGGGGCCTAGGGTGGGGCGCGGCCTCGAGAGGGCCACGGCGCCGCCGCCCTGGGGAGCGCGCGGGGGCGCTGCCCGCGGCTCGGCTCCTTTCGGGCTCGGCAGGCGACGGACGTCGCTCGAGGGCCCAGCGCACGGGCCTGGCGAGGTGCAGACGCCCCAGGCCGCCGACGCACCAAAGCACCAAAACACACACACACACACACACACACACACACACACACACACACACACACACACACACACACACACACACACACACACACACACACACACACACACACACACACACACACACACACACACACACACACACACACACCCACACACACAAC